CCCAGTTTGCTAAACTTAGTTCCCTTTGAGGACTTTGAATGGCGTGATTATCTCTCACCAGAAATTAGTAATGAAAAGTATGCATTCTCTGTTTTTAGGCTTTTTAGAAGATAACTTTTACCTTTCCCAGGCATCTTACCTTGAACCATGTCACCCAGTCTTGCAGACGGCGCCCTGCGTGGTAAGGGTTCGCTGGGATGCTGTCCTTGTTGGGTTGTTTTTTGGAGATGGCATGGTAGGAATCTAGAGTTTATCTTCTAAAATTGTAGATCAGATTGAAAGAATGCTCCAAAAAGTTGTAAGTTAAGCCCAATCAGACTGCTTATATTTTCAAAGTTTTGAGTAATTAAGAAATCTGTGGAAACTTAGACTTCTTATTTACCAAAAGTCAAGCACCCTAGGAACTAATCTGCTTTTACCTCATTGCTCCAATATGAGTGAATGTACTTAGAGGTTGATTAAATATTTTTTGTTTCCAAACATGGGAAAGTATGTCCAAATCCTTAAGTAATTACACTTTTAATACAGGCAGTTCTCATTTTCTTACACTGGCTGAAGAGGCAGGGTGCCTTACACACTGTGTTTTTCATTTGTGTGGTGGCGACTTTAAATTGAGCTTTAAGCACTTTAGTCACTTAACTCTCAACCAGCTCCGTTTAGAAAGCATAAGATTTCAAAGTGGTTTATTACATAAAACTCTGCATTCTTTGATGGCTTGACAGAATATTCGAAGCATTGAAATAAGCATTGTACTTAGTAGAAAAATAATGTTTTAACCTAATCTAAAAATCTGATTTCGACGATGAATAGGAGTTAAAATGTGTACATTTATGGCTTTTCCATGAGAATAAACTATTTAAGGAGTGAAAAATAGAATATCTGACCCATCGTTAGGAGTAAGTATTGCCTTAAAAGAACATTGTGAAAATTTAGGAACTTTGGACAGTTGTACATGATCACAATTAGTGTATTCTTAGGTGTACTTCATCCAGGTCTGACACTCCCAGTAGACGGAATTATCTAGAGGCACTCACTGTTCTGTCTGTTTGTTTACAGCGTCTAGTACCTATCCTGTAGTGAGGATTCAGTTAATGCTCATTGACTGAAAGTTTTTGATTCGTTAGTGTCACTGTTAAATCCAGGTACTGGGTCCATGTGGCTGTTGATGGATCTGCATATCTGCATGAAATAAGTCTGTTTTAACCTTCAAGAATCAAAGTGGATACCTAATTGCTCCCCACCCCCCGCCCCCTAAATATTTGATCTGTGCATGTTAGCCAGTCAGAACTCAGTTCCACCTTAAATTAGAAAATGGTGTCATTTGTATGTTTTGGGAGTTTTTTTGTTTAGCTTAAGATGATACATATATTTTCTTTTTACTAGATGTTCTTGGGATTCTCTTTATATTCTGCCATTACAATAGAGAAGATACGTCATTCTAATTTTATTACTGTTTCCTTGTTCATATTGGTAATATTTTTGTATGCTAAATACAGAATTCTAGACTAAGCAAGAAGAGCCAGAAAATTTGACAAATAAAGAGCAATGAGGGGGTTTACACCCACTAGGTACTAAAATATAATATAAAGCTTTAATAGTTAAAACTATGTGGCACTGGTACATGAATAGACAGATCAGTATAACAACAGATAGAAGGTCTAGAAAGAGATATAAGTATATGTGGACATTTAGTAAATTATCAAAAAGACATTTTAAATCAGTGGGGGAAATGACGGTTATTCAAAAAATCATGTCGAGACCATTTGGTAAACATCTGAAAGAAATTAGGTTGGATCCTACCTTACACCAAAATAAATTCCAGATGGAGCATAAATGTAAATGTAAAATTATGAAACCATAAAAGTACTAGAAAAAAACATGAAAATGTTTTTATAATCTTTGAGTGATAGTGGCCTTTTTAATTATATTGGAAAACCCAGAGGCCATTTAAAAAAAAATGATAAATCTTACCACTTACCAGATTTCCACTTGGCAAAAGAACATGGCATACAGAGTCAAAATACAGATAAACTAGGAAAATCCAACATATTTTACAAACTAAGGGTTAATTTCCTTATTATATAATTTTTTAATTAGTAAGAAAAGACCAGAAATCTAACAACACAATGGGCCAACTTTATGGAAAAGGAAATACAAATTCTTTTAAACATATGAAAAGATCATAATGTAAATTAATACCACAATGAACTGCCATGTCTCAGGCTGGCAAAAATCAAAAGTTTT